AAAAAAAAAAAAAAAAAAAAAAAAAAAAAACCAAACAAACAAAAAAACCCCCAAAACCAAGAGCCCCAAAAGGGGACCCAGAGTGCCTGGGCCAGGGTCCCCGACATTTGAGCTTCTTCCAATCCACCAAGCAGCTCTAGAGTTCCACCCAGAGCGAGAAGTCAGAATCGGAAAGCCCAGAGGTGCCTAGCGCAGGTGGGCTGCAGCTAAGGTCACCTGAGCCCCACCCGTGGGGGCCGGGCTCAGCCCTGGCTCGCGGCTCCCTGGAGGGGCGCTAGCTCCCGGGTGAGGCGCGCCTGCGACTGGGGAGCCGCCCTCCCGGCGGCTAGGGGACGGTCCGGTCGCGGCCCCGCCCCCGGGCCGCCCATAAATGATCCGGGCCGAGGGCCACCTCAGGTTCCTAGCGCAGCTTTCAGGTGGCTGAGAGGTCGGCGCCGCCCGCGTCTCCGTTGGCTGCCGCGCCTACGTGGGCGCGCTCGGAGCTCCAGCCATGCTGTTCTGGCACACGCAGCCCGAGCACTACAACCAGCACAACTCCGGCAGCTACCTGCGGTAAGGGCCTCGCGTCGCCCGCGTGCCGCGACGGCCACAGCCCTGGGGCTCTGTCGAGGGGTGCGCCCGGCGCGGCCAAGACGTCCAGGGAAGGGAAGGGAGCGCGCTTACCAGGTCCTGGCATCCTCCTGTGGGTCCTGTGGGGAGGAAGCGAGAGCCCCGCCCAGTGTCCCCAAGGGACAGACGGACCGATCCCGGCGGGACCCGACTCGCGGAGTTGGGGGCTTGGCGAGGCGGGCGCACCGAGTCGGATCCCGGCGAGGGCCCCTCCGTGCCGACCCCTTGCGGGTACCGGGGGCACCTACGGGCCCCAGCCTCCCGGGATCTGTCCCACCTCGCACATCTGTCCTCTTCCCGCTCGGGTGAGAGTAGCAGAGGAAACTTCTTCCATCCGGAGCCTCCCCCGGGAAGTTAATCCCCTGCTCTTTGCCCCTCTCCACTGGGATCCCTCTCTGAGTTTTGCGCTTTCCGCAGTGCCCTTCGTCGGGCCTCGCTAGCCCCTGGTGGACCGTCGGGCGGGCGGGTTCGGAAGGGGCTGGCTGTCCCCCTCCTCTAGGTGGTCTTCGCCTGAAGCCCGAGCGTTTATTGCCCTTGATGGAAATCTTTCTTCTTCTGCAGGGATTTGTCTAGTGCTCTTCAAAGGGAAAAGTAAGTCCTGCCCGCTTTGCAAAGTACTCTGCAACACCCCCCCCCCCCACACACACACCTTTTAGGAAGTAGGACCCCCGTTTGCTTCAGTTCCTGGAAGATCGTGTTTTCCATGTTGTGCAGCTGGCCGGGTACTAATGGGCAGTCATTTCACTTTCTGAACTCGCCGGAACCAGCTTTAACCTGTCTTTATTTCCATCCTAGTCACAGTTTATTAAATGTGCCTAATTTAACCCAAAGGGCATTTGAGGTGGGCTCAGGAAAAGTGAACTGCGAGGCGGAAGGCGGCTCAGCCACTTAACGAGCTACCCACCTTCTGCGCTTGTTTGGGCCCCCAGAAGTTCCTGCCCAGTTTTGCCACGACAGGTTATTTGAAATTCCAGCTTCTGATAGGTATTTGTCTAGTCGTTCTCCCTGAAGACATTCCCCTGCCAGAGAGCAGAGGAACCCTTGGATTTGACTGGTGTATCTGGTGTTTTTATTCAGAGTAGTGGATGATTAAAAAAAAAAAATCTAGGGTCTTAAGGACTGCCTGCTTGCCAGCAGACTGTGGCCATGTCACCCGAGGGAAGCTGCTCTGGGCAGTGGTGGAGCCCACTTGGGAGGATGTTAATTCCCTGCAGGAGATTAAGTGGCTGTTCCCTTACGAAAAGTGCCACAACAGAGTATGTCTTTACCATTTGCACATTGCTGTTTTCATGTTAGTTTTGTCTAAATTTTGGTTTGTGGCTGTTAAGTATTTTTGTCATATCTTCAAAATGAGTTTGAAGGTGACCTTGAGTTGAAGATAATGTGTACTTAAAACTTCTGAAATATCCTGAAATATCATCCTATTAGGTAGTAATTCTAGAAATGAGAGTACAATTTTCCTAACATCTGCTACTCATAATGGAAGTTTGCAGGTTTTGGTTATTGCATGAAGGGAGGAAGGCAAAAGTTGGGGTGAAAGGTGCCATAAAGCCTGGGGGGCTAGGGATGTACCTCTGTTGTATAGTGCTTGTCTAGCAAGTGCAAGGCCCCAGACTGTGCATGGGGGTGGGGGTGGGGCGGGGGCATAAAAAAACCGTACTATTTGGGGGGGTTATTTTGGGAAACCATAGATGAAGAAGGTCCATACTTGGTGCTGGGGGATCGATCACATGCTAGTCTGGCACTCTGCCATTGAGTTACACCCCCAGCCCTGTCTTTTTCTTTTTTAAAGATTTTTTTTGAGAGAGAATTTTTTTAATATTTATTTTTAATTATCAGCGGACACAACATCTTTGTATGTGGTGCTGAGGATCGAACCTGGCCGCACGCATGCCAGGCGAGCGCGCTACCACTTGAGCCACATCCCCAGCCCCACCCCTGTCTTTTTCAAAATTCCACCTCTTTTTTTTTTGGTGGGGGGGTTCTAGGGATTTAAACCCAGGGTGCTTTATCTCACTGAGTTACATCCTCTTCCCTATTTATTTATTTACTTACTTATTTTATTTTGAGACAGGGTCTCACTAAGTTACTGAGGGCTTCGTGAAGTTGCCGAGTCTGACCTCAGACTTGAGATCCCTCTTGCTTCAGTCTGTCAGTCGCTGGGAGTCATTGTGATTACAGGTGTAGGCCACCACACCTGGCTTCAAAATTTCACTTCTTGCTGGGTGTGGTGGTGCATGCCTATAATTCCAATTACTGGGGAGCCCAGGATAGTAAGTTTGAGGCCAGCCTCAGCAATTTAGCAAGACCTTGTCTCTAAATAAATAAATAAATAAATAAATAAAAATAAAAATGACTGGGGATGTAGCTCAGTGGTAGAACACTCTTGGGTTCAATCCCCAGTACTGCTAAATAAATACATAGATAGAATTTTATTTCTTATTTTTTAAACATTTATTATATTTTTAGGTGTAGATGGACACAACACAATGCCTTTATTTTTATGTGGTGTTGAGGATCGAACCTGGGTCCTGCCCGTGCTAGGCAAGAGCGCTCTACCGCTGAGCCACAATCCCAGCCTTCTTATTTTTAATATTTAGTTTTTAGTTGTAGTTGGACACAGTACCTTCATTTTATTTATTTTTCTATGGTGCTGAGGATTGAATCCAGGGCTTCGCACATGCTAGGCGAGCGCTCCACTGCTGAGCCACAACCCCAGCCCTAGAATTTTATTTCTTGCTAGGGGTTTTGCCTTCATAGAGGCTGACCTCAATGAAGGCCAAGGTAGTGGGGTCAGTGCACATGTCCCTGTTCTCCCTACTCCAGAGAGAGGGTCTTGTCCTTTTCCTTTTTTGGGGGTGGGGGGTGGGGAGTATTTTTATCTTTGGTTTGTTGTCTCCTCATTCTGCAAAATCTGCAAAAGTCTGACCTTGACAGTAGTGGCCTTTACTCCTTCTCCCTTTCTGTTTGATGTTCTGGTGACTTTTATTCCTTGGCAAATAAGGATGCCAGGTTTGAAACAAGTTACTGTTGAATGATGGTTCTTTGCAACCCCCCCCCCCCCACACACACACACAACCCACACACACACCCTTTTTTTTCCCTCCAAATTTAAAGGCAGCAGTGCATGGATTATTAACTTAACATGGTCTGGGCAAACATGAAATGATGCAATCTCTAGGTGAGCAAGCCTGCCTGCTTCTCCCATGTTCCTAGAGAACCTCCTGGGCTGGAAAGAGGGAGGCGAGTAGTGGGAGAAGTCGGGTCAGCCCCGTGCTTTCCCTTTTTGGGCAGCAGATGGTGGCAGGGAAGCCCTTTGAAGGAAAGATTTCCCAGGTGTGCCCAAAGCCAGCCTTTTCTTTCCGAGAATTGGTTAGACATGGTTGGGGTGTGTGCTAGGTTTGTGTTTCAGAGACACTCATTTATGAGATTGTATAAGGAACAGGTTGTACCAGGGAGTTTGTGTTTATGCAGTGAAGTGGGGTCAGTTAATTTTATTCATAACCCAGGACCCACGAAGGGAGGAGGGTTATCAAGATAGGGCAGGATGCTTGCTTTTTTGGTGCTGCTTATACTTCAGAGAGCTTAAGCAAGTCTCTCCTGCTTGCAGGTCATTCATGTTCTCAAGGATTTCTTTGACTCCTTGGAGGGTGCATACCTGGAGTTCCAGCTACTTTGGTGGGAGTCAGAGATCCTAGGATTGTTTGGGGCCCACCTGGACAACACAGCAAGACCCTGTCCCCAAATACAACACAAACAAAAAATACAAAAACAATATAAACAACAACAACCAAAAAAAAAAAAAGAAAAGAAAGGAAGAAAGAAAGCAATCCAGACACAAGTTCCTCAGTCCCACCCTGATAGGAGACTCTCATTCTCAATGCCCTGGGGAGTTTTGTTTAGAAGTAAGAGAATCTTTGAGCATCTCAAGATTTTTCACTTGGATAAGGAAACTCTGTCAAAACCAAGGTTCTCCTCTTATTGCATTTCTGAGAGATCAGTGTGAGCCTTAAACTGGGTAGGGGCCAGTTGTCCCCTTCTCAGAAGGGAGGGAGGGGTGACTTGTCCTGGGTGAGGGAGGCCAACAGGTTCTTTATTTTCATTTTAACCCCGGGGCTATGCTGGTCTGAGAAGTGGCTGATAAATAGAAGAGTTGATTCAAAACTAAAAGTTGTTGTTCAGATGATTTTTATCCAAAAAGCACATGATGAGCAGTCTCCTGTGGATGGAAACCAAATGGCTTCTAAAGGTTACTTCATTGTTACTGGCCTCTGTCACTTAGAGGTTCTCTGTAGATAATAGGAACTTTACATTTTTACCTCCTCCACAACTTGATTCAGTAAGTCTTTTTGAGAACCATCAAGTAACACGAGAATCATGCAAGACCTCGCACATGCTAAGCAAGGTCTCTATCCCTGAGACCACACCACCTGCTGCCCCAGCCTGGTTTACTCTATTTGAAAGCATCTAGAGGGTTTGTAACAGGAGGGATCCAGATCTAAGCCAGCTGGCTGCAGTGGGCCTTGTTGAATGGCCTTTGGTCCCCGGGGTCTCGGTCGCTCTCTCCAACTTTGTCTTTGACGACGGGCTCCCTGGGCCCTGCTCCTGACCACCGCCTTCCTGTGTGTTGCAGTGATGTGCTGGCTCTACCCATCTTCAAGCAGGAGGAGCCCCAGCTGTCCCCCGAGAATGGGGCCCGGCTGCCACCCTTGCAGTACGTGTTGTGTGCCGCCACGTCCCCAGCAGTGAAGCTCCAAGAAGAGACCCTGACCTACCTCAACCAAGGTAGTGACTGGAGCCCTAGGCCAGGGTGGAGCCTGTGGGTGGGGGCACCCTCCAGAACAATGGGGAGTTGATGTGAAGATCCTGTTGGGTTTTATTAGCTGTCCCAATCGGTGGGGTGGGGCTCAGGAAGTCTTTGGTGTTGGACACCTGTTCAGATTCCATTTCTGAGCTCTCAGGCCTCTATGAACCTCTGAGTCTTCATCTGAAATATGGAAACATCAAAAGCTGGGCATATGTAGTCCCAGCTATTTGGGAGGCTGAGGCAGGAGAATCACTGGAGCCCAGGAGGTTGAGAGCAGCCTCACAACATAGTGAAACATGTTTCAAAGAAATAAACATCAACTGTATTGTTAGAAAGGAGGCCAGATGTGATGATATTACTATATAGCACCTTCAGGGAGCAGATGTGCCATTGTCTGCGGCCGCTAATACTATTTATTGTGACCACGGTTGATGGTCCTCTGTGTGGGTTGAGTACTTTTGGTTTACTGGGTCTGCTATCCTTGGATGTGCACCGGGCGGGCGGTAGGAGGGCTGACCTGTGTCTGGCACCACAGGGCTGGGTTCCGCTTGACAGAAAGAAGCCCTTTGTGGAAATGGGGACAAGATTGCTCCTCATGTCTTGGGAGGAATGAGCTTTGGAGTTTGAATTCCAACTCTTAACTCTTCATAGTTCTGTGACTTTGAACTGCCTTTTCCTTTTCTCTGAAGTTCAGTGTTTTCATGTGTAAAGTGAGAAGTGTAATTTTTGTATGAAGCTTGCAAGATTGAAGGTAAGTGGCCCGTTAGAGGTTGTTCAGTCAGTTGTCCCCTTTACCAAGAGCACCCGGATCGTGTCCTGGTGGATGGCATTTCTGTGGTTTTGGTTCTGATGATGTGAATGTGTTTAGTGCACTTTTTTCTGGTCACCTTGTAAATCCTGGGCATCTAGTGGTTTGATCGCTGTCTACATTACATTGGAAGCACAGAAGGGCAGAGGACCCTGGTTTTGGCCGGGCCACACTGAATTATAGGAACAGCAGTGTGTCCTCTGTGGCCGCCTCCCCTCAGTGGAACTTTGCCTCCTGGATTTTGAGGTGGGTGAGGGTAGAAGTCCAACATGATCATCGTGTTCTCTGGCTGCAGAACTTGCTGGCTTCTGAGCCAAGAAACTAGCTCAGAATGAGCAGGTGGCTGTGTGTCTACCTGTCTACTCTGTGGACAGGCTTATCCCCCGGGGGCAGCCCTGTTGTCATGAGCTGGTCTTGCTGACGCCTGTACTCAGATCGCTGTGGGGCTGAGACCTGTGCTCCATCTGCAATGTTCTGGGTGACAAAGCCAAGTGGAAGAGTGAGTGCCTCTGTCTGAGCCTATGTGTGCAGTGGCTTCTGCCTTTTTCCTCTCTTTGATAGAAGGTCAGATGCTCCTAACTGCTGTATCTTTTTTTTTTAGAATTTTAATATTTTATTTTTTTTTAGTTTTCGGCGGACACAACTTCTTTGTTTGTATGTGGTGCTGAGGATCAAACCCGGGCCGCACGCATGCCAGGCGAGCGCGCTACCGCTTGAGCCACATCCCCACCCCAGCCCCTAACTGCTGTATCTTTGAGCAGATTCGTTCCTCTCTAGATGTCTGCTATCTTGCTTAAAAATGAAAGAATTACAAGGTATTTACAAATTAGTCCGCTGAGCTGATGGTTTCCTGCTCTTGGCCACGTCCATGGTGCAGGTGAGAAGTCTGGGATCTTGCTGTAGGACCAGGACATTTTGTCTGTCCCCTTCCCCCATCTGCAAAGCCTTTGGCTGTATTCACCATGTGGGACACTCCTACCCCGTCCCTTCTAATCAGTCAACTTGAGATAAAATTTGAAAGTCAGCGTGCTAGGTCTTTCTTTTTCTTTTCCCAATCCCCTGCCCTTTCAATTTATTTTAAATTTTTAAATTTTGAGCTGGGGTCTCACTAAGTTGGTCAGGACCTCACTAAGTGACCGAAGCTGGCTTAGAACTTGAGATACTTATTCCTGAGCCTCTCAAGTTGCTGGGATGACAGGTATGAGTTGCTATACTGGGCTAGGTCTTTTAGAAAGATTTAAGAGCATTTATTCTCTTGTATACCATAGGTAAGTGTAAAAAAAGGGGGAAAAGAGTTAGCCTCCAAATTCACACGTTATCCTGTGTTAATATGGTGTCTATACTTCAGATTTTCTCTATTTACTGTACTGCTAGGGATCCTCGCCAGGGCCTTGTGTATGTTAGGCAGGCACTCTAATAGACCACCAAGTTACATCCCTGGCCCTAAATCTCTCTAAAATTACATTTTCCCAATTATTAATGGAATACATGTTCATTTGAATGATTGTAAAAAAGAAAAAAAAAAAAGAAAATTAAAAGACATAATTAAAATCTTTTCTAATTTTGCCAGAGAATAACTGCTAACTTTATTTGTGCATAACTAATTGTATTAAGATCTTTTCAAACTCTCATGCTACAAAAAATTTATCCTGGTTTTCTGTCTTTATTTTCCTTCCTTCCCTCTTCTTTTACATAGACTACTTTGTGAACTTTTCTCATTAAAAATGCATTGGGAACTGGCGGTGTTGGGAGGTAGGAAGATGGAGAGGTCAAGCCAGCACTGGTGAGACTCTCTCCCAAAAGAAAAATTTTAAAAAAGGGCTGAGGATGTAACTCAGTGGTAAATCACTTGCCTAGCATGTGTGAGACCCTGGGTTCAGCACACAGGGCCGCAAAAAAAAAAAAAAAAATAAAAAAAAAAAAAAGAAAGAAAAAGAAAAACGCTTCGGCGCTTTGTTGTCCTGGCTACATGGTTACACTGTAGAGTTCCATATTGTTACACTATCCGGTTCTGTTCCTTTGGCCTGTTTCATATTGTGGACACTTACTTTCCAGTTGTTAGAGATTAAACCGTGATGGACATTCTTGTATGTAAATCTTTATGTGAAATGTTGATTCTTTAATTTTTAGCTATATATACTTTTTAAAAAAAATCATTTCAGTTACATATGGACACAATATCTTTATTAATTTTTTTATGTGGTGCTAAGGATCGAACCCAGTGCCTCACATGTGTGAACCAAGCATTCTACCACTGAGCTACAGCCGCAGCCCAATTTTTAGCTATATATAGCTAAATCTCCTTTAGTACCGGAGATTGAACCCAGGGGTCAAGACCCACCAAGCTACATCTCCAGACCCTTTATTTTATTTTATTTTTTTTAAATTTTGGCAAGAGTTTCACTGAATTACCCAGGCTGGCTTGAGCTGCGATCCTCCTGCCTCAGCCTCCCAAATCAGTGGGATTACCGGTGTGCAGTAGACTTTAGGGTTTTTGATACATACTGCCAAATTACCTTCTCAGCGGAAGAAAATAACGCACACAGTGGCCAACAGGGTAGATCTCACTGTTTCCCTATTGGGCATTGCTGCCATTTTTCTTTTTCTGTCATTGTTCACCTGATTAGTAACCATGGACTTTGATCTTAAATTTGCATTCCTGTGATTGTTAATCTAGTTGAATATTTTTAAATGTTTATTGATATTTTTTCTGTATTAACTATATTCATGTCCTTTGCAAATTTTTTTTCTTATTGATTTGAAGAGAATATCATTTATGAAGAACTTCAACGTTGTAGGTGCTTATGTTGCAATATTTTTTTCCCTTTGGTTGCTGTCCATTTAACTTAATTGTGATAACTATATTTATGAAATGGGATATATAACTTGTTTTTTTGTGTGTGTGTGTGCGCGCGCGTGCACGCACATCAATCCCAGGACCTGTGTATGCTAAACCAGTGCTCTACAGTCTCAAACCAATGATTTTTTTTTTTAAATTAGAAATTTTGTTTAACGGTTTGTAATTTTAACACTAAATATATGATGTGATGTAAAGATATAAATTTGGTTATTTTTTCCGGATAATTAACCTACCAGTTGCCGCATAATTTGTTTTCTCATTGGTTTAAAATGCTACTTTTGAAACATTTTAAAAACCAAATGGTCAGAAATGGACTTTTGTGTAGTTATTTGTCCTAAACACTGATATTCATTGATTTTTTTAAAATTGAATTAAATATTGTATCTTGGAAGTATGTTTTACTATTTGAGAACAGAAATTCCTTTCATATTTTTTCTTAACCATTCCCAATCATTTTATTCTTACAGATTGATTTTATAACCATTGAGACGTCTATGCTTTTTAAAAAAACTGATAAGATCATAGACTTTTTACAATTGCCCTGCTTTTATTGTATACTATTCTTTTCAAAAAATTTTTTTTGATACTGGGGATTGAACCCAAGGTTGCTCCATCACTGAGCTACATTCCCAGCCCTTTTTATTTTTTAATTTTGAGCCAGGGTCTAACTAAATTGCTTCAGCTGGCCTCAAACCTGCACTCTTCCTGCCTAAGCCTCCCAAGAAACTGGGATTATGGTGTGCACCACTGTACGCCAAGTATTATTCTTACAATAACATTTTCCACTGTTATTAAAGTATGTATTTGACTATTTCCTCTTGTTCTTAGGATAGAATATTGTCATAATTGCTGGAAGAAAATATACAAAGTAATTATTTCAGTGTCTATTTTTCATATGGAATGGAAATGACGAGGGCCGAGTCCTGTCTCATCTTTTCTCACGGTCTTCCCAGCGTTAATCTCATGCCTTGATAGTAGCTGCTCTAAATTGTCCCCAAAATTAAAAATAGGAATGATTGATTTTATTTCCGTTTTTCCTGTTTGTTCTTTCAGTATTATCAATAATGTTATAGCAGACATCTTTTTCAGCACACTTTATTGAGTAGTCTGTCCTTTATGTTAGATGACAAATAGATTTTGACCCAATTTTAAAAATTAATTTGGAGCCAGGTGAGGTGGCTCTGTAATTCCAGCAGCCCGGGAGGTGGAGGCAGGAGGATCACAAGTTCAAAGCCAGCCTCAGCAACTTAGTGAGGCCTTGAGCAACTCAACAAGACCCTGTTTCTAAATAAAATATTTATGAAAAGGGC